CGTACAGCTGTAAAGTCATATCCTTCACGTATATAGCCTCAGCTTACAGCTGTAAAGTCACAGCCTTCACGTATATAGCCACAGCGTACAGCTGTAAAGTCATATCCTTCACGTATATAGCCACAGCTTACAGCTGTAAAGTCATATCCTTCACGTATATAGCCACAGCGTACAGCTGTAAAGTCATATCCTTTACATATATAGCCTCAGCTTACAGCTGTAAAGTCATATCCTTCACGTATATAGCCTCAGCTTACAGCTGTAAAGTCACAGCCTTCACGTATATAGCCACAGCGTACAGCTGTAAAGTCATATCCTTCACGTATATAGCCTCAGCTTACAGCTGTAAAGTCATATCCTTCACGTATATAGCCTCAGCTTACAGCTGTAAAGTCACAGCCTTCACGTATATAGCCACAGCGTACAGCTGTAAAGTCATATCCTTCACGTATATAGCCACAGCTTACAGCTGTAAAGTCACAGCCTTCACGTATATAGCCACAGCGTACAGCTGTAAAGTCATATCCTTTACGTATATAGCCACAGCTTACAGCTGTAAAGTCATATCCTTCACGTATATAGCCACAGCGTACAGCTGTAAAGTCATATCCTTCACATATATAGCCTCAGCTTACAGCTGTAAAGTCATATCCTTCACGTATATAGCCTCAGCTTACAGCTGTAAAGTCACAGCCTTCACATATATAGCCTCAGCTTACAGCTGTAAAGTCATATCCTTCACGTATATAGCCTCAGCTTACAGCTGTAAAGTCACAGCCTTCACGTATATAGCCACAGCTTACAGCTGTAAAGTCATATCCTTCACATATATAGCCTCAGCTTACAGCTGTAAAGTCATATCCTTCACGTATATAGCCACAGCTTACAGCTGTAAAGTCATATCCTTCACGTATATAGCCCCAGTATACAGCTGTATAGTCACAGCCTTCACGTTTATAGCCACAGCTTACAGCTGTAAAGTCATAACATCCCGGGAAAACACTGGAGTGGCTGTATCTCGCCCAGCAAATCTAGTGGTGTACCATGTCTCAATACCCTCTGAAGGTATGTAATGTTATGGTTGGGTGACACTGAACAGCGACTTGTCTGAGACCACACGAGACCTCACTGCGATTATCGATCGCAGCGGTCGCAAAGTTTTTTGCTACCAACTTTGACTTTCCGTTTACACGGTATATGGTGTGCGACCTGCCTAGGACCCCAAAAATCTAATTTACATTTTTATGGCGAAATGATTGAGACTGATGCGATCGGTCTTATAGATCGCAACTGGGTCGCTCGTTGGTGAAATTTTAGAGAGAATAGGGCACATCATCACGGGAGAAGGAACCAATTACAGGTCCTCTTTTTAAGCAGGGTTGAAACTCTGACATTAAGACACTGGTGACCAGTATCCAAGCTTGGTCTACAGCTACAGGGCCAGCAAGTCATCCCTACAGCACGTTGTGCCCCAAGTTGGCCAGGCGATCCTGGAGGCCTACAGAGACGAGGTATTCAAGGCTCCTTCTACACCAGAAAAGTGGAAGGAAATAGCCCGATAATTCTAACTTCGATGGCAAGTGCCTCATACCACAGGGGCCCTAGATGGAAAGCACATCAACATCAGTGCACCTGCACAGAGTGTGTCTACAGAAGCTGCTACTTCATCGTTCTCCTGGTGCTTGTGGACCACAACTACAAGTTCCTGTGGGGGGAATACTGGAGGTCTTGGACACCAGTCAGACGCCCAGATCTTAAATGCATCTGATCTGAAACATCGCTTGGACACTTGTACACTTGGTATCACCACTGGTCTCGAGACAAAACAGTTGGAGCAGATGGCGTAAACGCACAATGCTTCGCGGCAAACCGAGGAGCATGACTTTTCATGTGCGGTCAGACCACGTGCTCTTGACCAAGACAACAATCGAATCGGTCAGTTGTGTTAGGGTTTGCTTGGGTTAAGGTCTGACTTGAGTTTAGACGTCAGTTTAGTTCAGGTTTCACTTGAGTTCGGGTGTTTCTTGAGTTGGGTGACAGCTCGTCAAAATAGGATTTAGATAGACTGATATAAAGAATGTATTAGTGCATCGAAATAGAAGTTCCATATAGCTGGCTGCTATAGAGCTAGATACTGTACATGATAGACTTTACGCTGCAATAGAGCTAGATAGATTAGTGTAGATAATAGAATTTAAGGTATCACATTAAGTTTTCACCTTTAGTTGCCAATTTGTATTGTTTAAAATATTTGATCAGTTTAAGTAAGAGAGTCACGTTTAGTTCCCAAAAATAGCACATTTCGACACTTCAATGTTAGTTAGTCTAGTTTTTAATTCCACTGCGCAACAACCTTTTCTGAGCCTATTGAGCAATCTGAAGACTTTGAACCAAAGAACCTTCTCTACCTCATATTGGCCGATGATGCTTTTGCCATAAGAACATATCTAATGAAACCATGGGCCACAGGGAACATGACCAAGGAGGAATTGAGCGCAAAAACAACGCGATCTCCTTGCGAGCGAATGCGACCTCATGACGACAGACATACGACCAAATTGGGAGTCCATTGAGACTTCTGCGATCAGGTTACGGCCAATTTTGCGATCTCATAGCGGGTTGGACCGCTCGCATGCGGTCGCAAAACTTGTGCGAGTGTTTTGACCAGTTCCATACACTCGCACAACTCGATACGACCGGTAGCGAGTAATGGCGATAGATGGCGATGATTTAGGCGATGATAAGGACCTCACTGAAACCCCTACGCTACCCCACTACGAGTTTGTGAGAGTGAGCACGGTCGATGGGCATTTTTCTGTCGTAAGTCGCAAGCCCAGTGTAAACATGGCATTAAATATATATTTAGTATTTGTAATAATTTTACTCTCCAGGACCAATGGAAGAGGGTCATTTATGTACCGCCCACTGTACAGCCACAGCTTTCGATTATAAGCTCACTTCTAGGGGCATAAAGTAGCACCCTAAATGTATAAGACCACAGCCTACAACTGTAAAGAAACAGCATTCATGTGTAGGCCACAGACCTACAGCTGTGAAGTCAGAGCATCGTGCATCAGCTCACTTGAAGATATGTGAAGTATCAACCTTCATGTACTGCCACAGCCTAGAGTTGTCAAGACACATCCTTCGTGAATAGGCACACAGGCACAGGTGTGAAGACAATGCCTTCATCTATGAGGTCACTACCTCCATGTATTCTATCACAGCCTCCATGTATTATATCACAGCCTCTATCTATGAGGTCACAGCCTCCAAGTATTCTGTCACAGCCTCCATCTATGAGGTCACAGCCTCCAAGTATTATGTCACAGCCTCCATCTATGAGGTCACAGCCTCCATGTATTCTGTCAAAGCCTCCATGTATTCTGTCACAGCCTCCATCTATGAGGTCACAGCCTCCATCTATGAGGTCACAGCCTCCATGTATTATGTCACAGCCTCCATCTATGAGGTCACAGCCTCCATGTATTATGTCACAGCCTCCATGTATGAGGTCACAGCCTCCATGTATTGTCACACAGCCTCCATGTATGAGGTATATTATGTCACAGCCTCCATGTATGAGGTCACAGCCTCCACCTCTCCATGTATTATGAGGTCACAAGCCTCCATGTATGAGGTCACAGCCTCCATGTATTATGTCACAGCCTCCATGTATGATGTCACAGCCTCCATGTATGAGGTCACAGCCTCCATCTATGAGGTCACAGCCTCCATGTATGAGGTCACAGCCTCCATGTATTATGTCACAGCCTCCATGTATGAGGTCACAGCCTCCATGTATGAGGTCACAACCTCCATGTATTAGGTCACAGCCTCCATGTATTATGTCACAGCCTCCATGTATGAGGTCACAGCCTCCATGTATGAGGTCACAACCTCCATGTATTATGTCACAGCCTCCATGTATGAGGTCACAGCCTCCATGTATGAGGTCACAGCCTCCAGTCACAACCTCCATGTATGAGTCACAGCCTCCATGTATGTCACAGCCTCCATGTGAGGTCACAACCTCCATGTATGAGGTCACAGCCTCCATGTATTATGTCACAGCCTCCATGTATGATGTCACAGCCTCCATGTATGAGGTCACAGCCTCCATGTATGAGGTCACAGCCTCCATGTATGAGGTCACAGCCTCCATGTATGAGGTCACAGCCTCCAGTCACTGAGTCACAGCTTACGGGTGTAAAGTTACAGCCTCCATGTATGAGGTCACAGCCTCCATGTATTATGTCACAAACTTCATGTATGAGGTCACAACCTCCATGTATTATGTCACAGCCTCCATGTATTATGTCACAGCCTCCATGAGTATGAGGTCACAGTCTCCAGCCATTGAGTCACAGCTTACGGATGTAAAGTTACAGCCTCGATCTACAGGGCCCAACTCATGAGGTGTAAAGTCACCTTAGTATCTTTGAGAACAGCATGACAGACCTGTTCACGCACATAGCAATGTGTGAGCTCAGATGACCATGGCTTGTAAACTGGTAACGGTTATTAATATCACAAATATATACCCTTCAAATATAGCCCAATAGCATAACCTATCATAGGCAGTGATGGCCATCTCAGGTAAGCATTCTAAATGTGTATGTAAACAATGACAACACTTATAACAAACGTAATACATTAATGAATGTCTGCTGTATACGTAAGCTATAAAACGCTATTTCTCATGCCCGGTGCACCTATTGGCTGCAAGGAGTTGCGTCCCTTAGACCTGTTTGGTATGCTCGATTCTTCGCACCCGAGATTCTCCCTGCTGCTTCTCCGCATGCTGCAACACGTCCGAGCACTTGCATTGGGACTGACTTTGGTATTAGTTTGGACTTACACTTTGAGATCACGACATCGTGTTAGCTAATCCCTTACCGCTGAAATAAGCTCACTCACTTAACAGTCGTAGGTTGCAGCTTTTCTCGTCTTAAGGTATACAGCCATTCGTTACCTTCGAAATTGCAAGGAATTCAGCCTTAAGTAACAATCGTTTATTGCACTTCCGATATTTCACATGTACACACAAACATTTCAATATACATGTTGTAATTATCAAACCTTCTGATTACAACTGTAAGATGGCCAGATATGATAGTGTCATGTATATAAATGCCCGTTCCTATGTACTGTTTTATGATGAATCACCATGACGTTGTGTTCCAGCAGTATACTTACCCTCACATATGCTGAAGGTACCACATAACATACTTCAGATATTAGCACTACACATCGAAACAACATACCTTGGCACATGTATCATTCATTCACATATAGAAATCACTCGTACACTCAATTATAAATAATTTACCATTGCAACGACATTTTTGCACAAAATAACGTTCTATAGGAGAATAGCTCCATATGTATCCATTTAAATGCACATTCGGTATATACCCTCAGTTCCTGATTTGGTCCCTTCTGTGGGTATAACGCCTCTGTTCGGATCATATCCGGGTGAAGTTCACTGTGGGTTTCCGCTCCAGGTCACAGGTGCAGCGTCTGTTCATTGACACAGAGAGTTTCACAAGACCCACGAACACACATATACAAGCCGCTACGATTGACAACCTCAGGAATATCGTTTTGGCCAAATCTGAAAATAAAATGTGATAAAGTTAAATAATGATTACCTTTTAAACACTCATTCATACCACAGAAGTATTGAGTGTGCAAAACATGTGGTTGCTACATCCCACTACAATTACTGCATGTTATGTTAAACTTTAGATCACAGTTACTGCATGTGAAACCTCAGGCTATAGTTAATGCATGTAAAACCTCAGGCCACATTTACTGCATTTAAAACCTCAGGCCACAGTTACTGTATGTAAAACCTCAGGCCACAGTTACTGCATGTAAAACCTCAGACCACAGTTACTGCATGTAAAGCCTCAGACCACAGTTACTGTATGTAAAGCCTCAGACCACAGTTACTGCATGTAAAGCCCCAGGCCACAGTTACTGCATGTAAAGCCTCAGACCACAGTTACTGCATGTCAAGCCTCAGACCACAGTTACTGCATGTAAAGCCCCAGACCACAGTTACTGTATGTAAAGCCTCAGACCACAGTTACTGCATGTGAAACCTCAGGCTATAGCTACTGCATGTAAAACCTCATGCTATAGTTACTGCATGTGAAACCTGTGAAACCTCACGCCACATTTACTACATATAACACCTCACGCCACATTTACTGCATGTAGAACCTCAGACCACAGTTACTGCATGTAAAGCCTCAGACCACAGTTACTGCATGTGAAACCTCAGGCTATAGCTACTGCATGTAAAACCTCATGCTATAGTTACTGCATGTGAAACCTCACGCCACATTTACTGCATATAACACCTCACGCCACATTTACTGCATGTAGAACCTCAGACCACAGTTACTGCATGTAAAGCCTCAGACCACAGTTACTGCATGTGAGAACCTCAGGTGAAACCTCAGGCTATACTGCATGTAAAACCTCATGCTATAGTTACTGCATGTGAAACCTCACGCCACATTTACTGCATATAACACCTCACGCCACATTTACTGCTTGTAAAGCCTCAGACCACAGTTACTGTATTTAAAGCCTCAGACCACAGTTACTGCATGTAAAGCCACAGCCACAGTTACTGCATGTAAATCCTCAGACCACAGTTACTGTATGTAAAGCCTCAGACCACAGTTACAGTATGTAAATCCTCAGACCACAGTTACTGTATGTAAAGCCTCAGACCACATGTAAACACAGCCACAGTTACTGCATGTAAAGCCTCAGACCACAGTTACTGTATGTCAGACCACAGTTACAGTATGTAAATCCTCAGACCACAGTTACTGTATGTATAGCCTCAGACCACAGTTACTGTATGTAAAGCCTCAGACCACAGTTACTGCATGTAAAGCCTCAGACCACAGTTACTGCATGTAAAGCCTCAGACCACAGTTACTGTATGTAAAGCCTCAGACCACAGTTACTGCATGTCAAGCCTCAGACCACAGTTACTGCATGTAAAACCTCAGACCACAGTTACTGTATGTAAAGCCTCAGACCACAGTTACTGAATGTGAAACCCCAGGCTATAGCTACTGCATGTAAAACCTCATGCTATAGTTACTGCATGTGAAACCTCACGCCACATTTACTACATATAACACCTCACGCCACATTTACTGCTTGTAAAGCCTCAGACCACAGTTACTGTATGTAAAGCCTCAGACCACAGTTACTGTATGTAAAGCCTCAGACCACAGTTACTGCATGTAAAGCCCCAGGCCACAGTTACTGCATGTAAATCCTCAGACCACAGTTACTGTATGTAAAGCCTCAGACCACAGTTACTGCATGTAAAGCCTCAGGCCACAGTTACTGTATGTAAAGCCTCAGACCACAGTTTCTGCATGTAAAACCTCAGACCACAGTTACTGTATGTAAAACCCCAGGCTATGGTTACTGCATGTGAAACCCCAGGCTATGGTTACTGCATGTGAAACCCCAGGCTATAGTTACTGCATGCATAACCTCAGACCACAGTTACTGCATGTAAAACCCCAGGCTATGGGTACTCCATGTAAAACCCCAGGCTCTGGTTACTGCATGTGAAACCCCAGGCTATAGTTACTGCATGTACAACCTCAGGCTATAGTTACTGCATCTATAACCTGAGACCACAGTTATTGCATGTAAAACCTCAGGCTATAGTGACTGCATGTAAAGCCTCAGGCCACAGTCACTGCATGCCAAACCCCAGGCCACAGTTATTGCATGTAAAACTCCAGGCCACAGTTACTCAGGCTATAGTTGCTGCATGTTTAACCCCAGGCTATAGTTACAGCATGCATAACCTCGGACCACACTTACTGCATGTATAACCTCAGGCTATAGTTACTGCATGTAAACCCCCAGGCTATAGTTACTGCATGTATAACCCCAGGCTATAGTTACTGCATGCATAACCTCAGACCACAGTTACTGCATGTAAAACCCCAGGCTATAGTTACTGCATGCATAAACTCAGACCACTGTTACTGCATGTATAACCTCATGCTATAGTTACTGCATGTACAAACCCCAGGCTATAGTTACTGCATGCATAACCTCAGACCACAGTTACTACATGTAAAACCCCAGGCTATAGTTACTGCATGTATAACCTCAGGCCACAGTTACTGTTTGTATAACCTCAGGCCACAATTACTGCATGTATAACCTCAGGCCACATTTACTGTATGTATAACCCCAGGCCACAGTTACTGCATATAAAACCCCAGGCTATAGTTCATGCGACTATAGTTATCAGTACTATAATCTATCATTTTTTTCATGTTTGCTTCTATGAACATGCCTTTTCTTTTTCTGCTTTTAGATTTTACACTTAACTATTCCTCGAGGTTCCAGATATGTAGATACCAAGTTAAATTGGGGTTTGGATAGGTTTCTTTTCTGTGGTTAATGGTAAGATATTGATACTAAGAAAAATATCGATGTAGCGATACTTTTTCCTTGTGTATATATTCACAGTCGTACACTCCAGCTTTCTATCTTCTATTTAATGAGAATACATTTCGGACAATATTTGCCGGGTAAGCCTTATCTCCATATATCGCACTTACACCGAGGACACACTTATCATATCTACCCGTAATACAGCTTACAGATCACGTGAGCCGGAAGTACAGTTTACATTTACACGTTCAGCTGGAGAACATATACGTTGAAACGTGTACAGCACGTACCTGCTCTGTTTACAGAACAGCTGCCTTCAGCAGAACAGGATGCGTCGCCCTGAAAGAAAAATGACGTTTGCTAAATCCAACGTTAACATTGACTGAGCGTTGTCCACTCACACATCACCACTGTTGGGCACAGGTAATATATAGGTGGAATACGAATTATCATCTACTGTTTTCATAGCGCATGGCTATATTGTAATTGCTCTCATAACGAAAAGAATCCGTGAAAGAGACAAGATGCCTACCACCGTGGTGTTGCCAGAATGTTCTGGTGTGGTACGTTCTGTGGAGATGTGCTCTGTGGATGTTGAAGGAGATGTGGTGGTGGGTCTGGCAGGCAGAGCAGGAGACGCCACACAAACTGTTGTCACCAGTACGATCGATATCACACAGTTACACAGTCGTACTGTCACCATAGCTGATGAGGGCCGTTCTACAACACAAGGATCGCACACCTCAAGTAGGAGGAACCTGCCGTCTCACATGCTCCCGCAGCTGAAACAATACAATCAGTGTCTCCAGGCACCATTCTGCAGGGTCAGGTACGATTGTGTTATTAGGTTTAAAATCCGACACTTAATATTAACTCTTTGTAATTCAATGAGGGTGAAATTTGGATGACATGTTTGTGGTCGACGGATGTCTTACTTGGTAATATGTATTTACTATGTACAAACACACACGCGCACATACACATAAAGACTCATAGAAACATGAATATCCGCTGACTAAAGCAAACACACCCCCGCGCGTGCGTATGTGTATATGAAAATATGATCTGAATTATGCATGCATTTATTATTTATGGTAATCCACTGGTCAACTGCTTACACACACGCTCACACGACACTCAGACACAAAGGCACATTCAGACAGACACTCATACAGCCACACACAAGACACATACAGGTATATAATGACAGACACATACAGGTACACACTGACAGACACATACAGGTACACACTGACAGACACATACAGGTATACACTGACAGACACATACAGGTACACACTGACAGACACATACAGGTACACACTGACAGACACATACAGGTACACACTGACAGACACATACAGGTACATGCTGACAGACACATACATGTACACGCTGACAGACACATACAGGTACACGCTGGCAGACACTCAGACAGCCACACACAAGACACGTACAGGTACACACTGACAGACACACTCACGCACATACCTCATTAGATACATTTGTAGATATATATGTGGATTCCCTGATCTCGCATTGTTGCTCTGATGTTTGGTCAGTGACTAGTAACATCAGAATGGCATCATGAACGATTGAAAAAGTAACATCTGATTACTTGCGACCATGACATCACATTTGTACATGCCTCATCCCAAACAATCTGTTACAGTTTCACCTACATCCGTATGTATACATTTAGTCTCAAGCACAATGATATAAGCCAGGTGTCTCAATATATCAAATACCATGAATATTTGTTATGCTGCAATGCTTAAAGAGAACAAAGAGTGAGTGAGTTAAAATTTGACGTCACGGGGTGAATAAAGAATATTTCACCTGCATGCACTGATCGTCTCTCAACACAAAACATGGGATTATTGCAACCTCGTAACACGTACGTGACGTCACACCAGTTGGAAGGAAATGGCACTGTGGTCCCATATACATGCAGAAAAAACATTACAGTGTCTGCACGTGCTAAATGTGCACATGTGAGTTGAAATATATGTGTGAAGGTGAAGGTCAATGTGTGTGTGTGTGGCTGAGTGAAACAGTGATGTGTGATATCTGTGTGAAAAAGTGCCTTTTGCTTAAAAGTGTTTAACTGTATGTAGAACTGAGTGAGAGGGTGAGTGAGTGAGTGCCAGCTACAGAAATCACACACAACACATCGTCAGCAAGCGCAGTGTTCAACAACTTATATAATGTGCAAGTATGATTGGGAATAAACTTATATATACATATATGAAATGCCATGCTCCATTCGAAGAAGTGAGCAGCGGGCAGAAACAATTGGTTCTGTATGTGAGATATATACGGACGACAGAATACCGTCGTGGGGCGTGGCCCACCTGGATGCGGCAGTATGTCAACAGACCAGCTGATTCCCCATCTTTACTGCGGTATCATCATGTTTGCAATATTGACCAGATTTCAATACACGTTTTAGGAAGATTAGTTTTACAGACAATAGAGAGAGGTCGGTATCGTTAACAACCCACGACATAGTAGACTACCGTGAAGATGAAACAGAAAGATGCTCGAGACGAAATGATGTGCTAGGACGTTACACCACTGAATGACAAACGGCTTTTCTCACAATATAGATAACTTCAACAATTTCCTCAGAATTCCACAAGTGCAGAAACTCGGAAACGTGATACACAGCACGGTCGTGTCAAATACTGAACACATATCACGGATGAGGTTACAGTAGACTAGTGTACCCTAGTTAAATATTTATTTAATTTTACTGATAAGATGTAGTAACCTACACCTTAAGGTGGTACATGCACATTGTTTTCATGAGATTATATTTCAATGCATGGAGACACCTTCGATTTCGTATTCATATTTGCACAATATTCCAATCACGTTCATGACACGACTTCATAGATTTTAAACTAGGCCATCCAATAAGGCTGATCGGAGGTTAGTACAGGCATTGTGTCCAGTCTGCGAGTGTCCCTCCCTCCCTCAGTTGTCAAGGTCATGATTATTACGGTGTCTGTAATCAATTACAACACACTCGAGAAGAGTCATAGGGCGTTATATCACCAATGTTCATACAACCCTTTTATAACACACCCTGCATATGATACAGAATTGAACAAGCTGTACTTACCTATCTCCGGCTAGTAAAACCCCTACAATATCCAATCAGTGTATACAACTGCCCCCGTGTCCTACTTGTGTTGACTGACCCGGTATTCAGCAAGCCTCGTACATGATTTATTGACAACAGAAATATTGGCTGCGATAAGAGAGTTCTAGGTTACAAGAGTACTGTATACTCTGCTTACCTGTTGTGTGTCAGGAGTCGTTGCAGAGTGTGTCTCCATGAATAACTTGTCTCACAGTCACAACAGTTGAGTTGCTGATTCACTCGTGGCGAACACATGCAAGGATGTATTAATAGACAGCGGAAAACCCCTTGTAAACAGCCTTATTGATCGTGGGGTCCAGTGCTGTTCTCGTTGATGTTGACTTGATAATCGGAGAAGTCTGTGACTGGGTTCGGGCTTTAGTTAATTGTTTTAAGGCACTGGATGTGCAGACGCGACAATTAATGCATACATAATTCGTGGAAATAGAGAGTGGTCGAGCATGTGTGTAACTTTGAACATTCCCACTAGTGTTAAGTGTGAGTAATTTAGTGACTGAAAATAGAAACACGTCATTGTGTATTTCTTTAAACAGAAGACTAAGCAGGCTAGTTTGGCGTTGAGTGAGAAGCGCAGGACCACATGCCTAGTAAGATTGAATTTTCTTTTATATATTTCAACCTTTACAATTTTGTTGAATATTTAATACGGTATACAACCGATGAAGATATTTGACTCGTGGTGGTATGGTCGCGTGTTAATTAAATATCGGATTTTACGCATGACAAGACGTCCAGTTATATGGAATAAATCAAACGCAAACATATCGTGTGGCATACCCAGACCAGGTTATAGGTTTTCCAGAACACAGACAAACAGTTGTAGGAATAAGTCACGCTGATAACGCTCATACAACAAAGTGTTTCGTGTTGAGTCAAACAGATGGGCCCTTAAACCGTGCTGACAAGGCATGACGAGTTGTCTACCCTGTTTGCACAACTGCCAGTGCATGTGTGACTTGTTGCTGATGCAGAGAATAACGTATGTGTTTCAGTTTCTGTGCTTCATCTATGATGTTCACATCATTGGAGTTTCTTTCGTAAGCACTTCCTGTGAGTGAACCGGTCCCGAGAACTAAATATAGGACCACGTGCATGCAGCTAAACTCAGGTGACGATCACTTGTGTAGCAGCAGTGTGACGGTGGATCGGCAGACCAAGTCCAGGCTTTACAGTCGAGACGACAGAGATGGTTTAAGTTTGGTTGGCAAATATTTCCTCTGATTTTGTTCACATTTCAGCACAGCAGTTATTCCCGTGTTTAACACGTGCCTTATTTTTTAAAAAGTGACGCGTTCCCGTCGCGTGCCTGTTGAGATCGATATCTGTGATGATTATGGATCACTCATGGAGTAACTCGTGATATGTTGTGACAAATCTGTCAAGATTACACACATGTGCAGGTGTCCGACATTGGCAACTATTAGTGATAACAGATCTACACAGCAGTGACACCTAACAGAATGGGTGATTGCTTTTACATGCGTTTCTCTTTTTTTTCTTTTTGTTCATCTGACCTTTTCAAAAACAGCTACATCATGCTATTGTATGTGTTCGTACGTGTTTGCTTGCATCCGGATAGGTGAGTGTGTGTAGGTGTATGTGATCGCTGGTGGGGTGAGTGTGTGTAGGTGTGTGTAGTCGTGTGGGAAGAGAGAGAAGTGTGTGTGTGTGTGTGTGTGTGTGTGTGTGTGATCGTAGGTGGGGTGAATGCGTGTAGGTGTGGGTGGAGTGAGTGTGTGTATGTGTGTGTGATCGTGGGTGGGTGTGAGTGTGTGTAGATGTGTGTCGTGAGTGTGTGTAGGTGTATGTGATCGTGGGTGGAGTGAGGTGTGTAGATGTGTGTGATCGCGTGTGTGTGTGTGTGTGATCGTGGGTGGAGTGAGGGTGTGTAGGTGTGTGTGATCGTGGGTGGGGTGAATGTGCGTAGGTGTGTGTGATCGTGGGTGGGATGAGTGTGTGTAGGTATATGTGATCGAGGGTGGGGTGAGTGTGTGTAGATGTGTGTGGATCGTGGGTGGGGTGAATGTGTATAGTGTGATGTGTATGTGATCGTGGGTGGGGTGAATGTGTGTGTGTATCGTGGGTGGAGTGAGTGAGTGTGTAGGTGTATGTGATCCTGGGCGGGGTGAGTGTGGGTGTATGTGATCGTGGGTGGGGTATGTGTGTGGTGTGTGTATGTGGATCGTGGGTGTGGTGTGTGATGTGATCGTGGGTGGAGTGAGTGTGTGTGTATCGATCGTGGGTGGGGTGAGTGTGTGTGTGTGTGATCGTGGGTGGAGTGAGTGTGTGGTGTATGTGATGTGATCGTGGGTGGGGTGGTGAATGTGTGTGTAGGTGTATGTGATTGCTGGTGGTGTGAGGGTGTGTATGTGTGTGTGATCGTGGGTGGAGTGAGTGTGTGTAGGTGTGTGTGATTGCTGTGTGGGGTGAATGTGTGTATGTGTGTGATCGTGGGTGGGGTGAGTGTGTGTAGGTGTATGTGATCGTGGGTGGGATGAGTGTGTGTTGGTGTATGTGATCGTGGGTGGAGTGAGGTGTGTGTAGGTGTGTGTGTGATCGTGGGTGGGGTGAATGTGTGTATATGTGTGTGTGATCGTGGGGGGTGAGTGTGTGTAGGTGTGTGATCGTGGGTGGAGTGAAGATGTGTTGTGTGTGGAGTGAGTGTGTGTAGGTGTGTGTGATCGTGGGTGGGGTGAGGGTGTGTAGGTGTGTGTGTGATCGTGGGTGGGGTGAATGTGTGTGGTGTGTGTGATCGTGGGTGGGGTGAGTGTGTGTAGGAGTGTGTGTGATCGTGGGTGGGGTGAATGTGTGTGTGTGTGTGATCGTGGGTGGGGTGAATGTGTGTAGTGTGTGTGTGATCGTGGGTGGAGTGAATGTGTGTATGTGTGTGTGTGGGTGGGTGAATGTGTGTAGTGTGTGTGTGATCGTGGGTGGGAGTGAATGTGTGTATGTGTGTGTGATCATTGGGTGGAGTGAGTGTGTGTGTAGGTGTATGTGATCGTGGGTGGAGTGAGGGTGTAGGTGTGTGTGATCGTGGGTGGGGTGAATGTGTGTATGTGTGTGTGATCGTGGGTGGGGTGAGGGTGTGTAGGTGTGTGTGATCGTGGGTGGGGGGTGTGTGTGTGTAATTGTTTACAGTCGCAAGTTTACCTATCGGAATGTACATGGACATATACATCCCCAGTTACACCAGGGAAATGCAGTAAGGACGTGACATGACGTGGCAGTGTTTTGTAATAATAGAAACAACTATTTATTTAATGAACAGATGGACTGTGTAGGGTTGAATGACAAGAGAGGGCCACATGTCCAGGAAAACCGCATTTACTTTCATGCCATGTTTTGGTCGAAAGTTTATGGCTGCTCTTACAAATCACAAGGTAGGTTTCATGTGGCTGGTCTACCGTAAAAGTCAGGTGTTTCAGATTAGATCAGAACTCGTGAGCAGTTATGTAGATTAGATAGTGCTGAAACATACTGCTTTACATACCCAGACTAGGGTATGGTTATATGGAAGATGCATACCCAGACTAGGGTATGGTTATATGGAAGATGCATACCCAGACTAGGGTATGGTTATATGGAAGATGCATACCCAGACTAGGGTATGGTTATATGGAAGATGCATACATCTACAGCAGATGTTCATGTTGATAATGCTCAAAAAACAAACTCAACATATGGATGGGCCTTAAAATCCCACCTTAGTCAGATGACGACAAGATATGAGTTATCTACCTTGTCTCCTGCCTGAGTATGTGCTTGCTGTCAGTACAGCGAGCGGTGTGTGGCTATGCCTCTGAAAATATACCTATCATCTCGATATCATATACAGTATGTGCTCTGTGAGGTGGTATGACGTTGGCGGGGTATGAGTTATCTCCTTAATACAAAACAGTTGGTTCGACACACATCGCTACGTTGGGAACAGCGTTGGAAAGTTGCCCCCAGCACATCATATAATTACTGGTATCTTGAGTCGACTAAACTGTGTCGAGTTGTTATATGGCTCGTGCAATCGTGACGTACATTGCCGCTGATGATGTTGTGCACAGTCGGTGTATTGTGTAGACAGGGATATTTGCAACCCGCTGTGGTACAGATCTAAACACTGCTACACACGTATACTGTCTGTAATGGTTTGTCATCAAGAATGGTAATATTCCACCAGACTTTGTGCAAGGAGTACTTGTCTACTTGCATGTATGGAATCTGTCATAAATGCAGGATAGGGAGACGGACGCATGGGCACGTTGACTCTTCCCATTTGTCGCTTCCCACACCTGATCATACCGCAGAAAGAATATACGTACAAATACGTACACATTGACTCTGTATTTGCGTGCGTGCGTGTGTGAAATATACTTCTCTCACTATACATTCAGAACTTTCAACGGCCCATTTAGTGTTGCAGGTTAATCCCCCACATGTACGCCCGAGTGAACACAGCGACATGCAGAATAATATACAACATAACGGGATAGAAAACACTTCAGAAAGTTGCATCTGGGATAAATATAGTGCTGAGCGTTCTGCCCGGCTTCTGTCACGACAGGCCTGTATATGCTATGTAGTTACGACACATCAGTCGGTTCGGCCACCGATTGGACCACAGACGCTCATCTAGGGTCATCTGATATTTGCCCCAGCCCCGGTGAGCGGTGAGATCATTGTGTTGTTCACTGACTGTCAACACGACACGCTTGTCACGGTGGTAGATAGATGGATAACACGCTGGTGGCTGGACTACACGTTAGATAGGGCGAGCTCAGGCAATCAGCATAGCTCAATGTGACGTAAAGTAACAGGTATGTGTCTTTACTGTACCTCATTTCACCAGTAACTGTCGCTACGTAACCAAATGTTTGCTTCAGTGTCAACGGTTGGTAAAGCCTGGGAGAGGTTCACGATGTAACCAAGAGGTCGTGTTTACACTGCGGCTTTACAAACAGGCCGCAGTGTATAACACGTATTTTATATTAATATCTTGGTATTATAATAAAAATGAAAGGCATGTTTCTAAGATTAGGACCAGTATGACTCTAACTGGTTGAGTATAAACTCTTTTTCCAATGTCGATTCGCGACTTGTGTACAATGAGAAATGTTAGTTTTGAACTTAGGGCTTTTACCTGCCCTGAATATAACTGACTAGGTGACCCGTATATATGTGGAGATGCATTACGCTGGCCAGTGTGTCGATACATATACAACTCGAGTGTTGAGAGGTCATTCTGCGACCCACATACAGGGCTAAATAGGTTATTTAGGAGGACAGATCAAAGAGAACTCAATAGTATGTCACATCCATCATCTTTATTACTCGGTGCTCGGTTACAGATTAAACCCTCCTGTGGGATTGTGTCATACAGCATGCGGCGATCAATACTAGCTGCACAAGACATTATTGTTAGTTCTGAGCAAACATGAAGACTGCCGTAGGACAAATGCAACTTTCGAGACAATCTGCAAGACACCGGACATATTGTTTTCCATTGTTTGATGCTCATATCCTTCCTTTGAATGAAGGTTTTGCTGTCTAAATCCAGCTGGTCGACGAGGCAGTGGTCGAAAATAGAATTTATAAAATCTGCTGAATATCCAGTGTGTCTGCCCCATGATTATACTCCAACCAGCCACAATATTGGAACAGGTGGCCTGACGTGTGATTTGAAGTGGAAGATCACTGCAGCATGCGACATACCACATGAACGATAGGACGTTTGGATATATACTAACCGTATTTCAAAAGTTGACTAAAGTGTAGATTAGATACCTTAACGAACAATGTTTTTAACGAACAGACTTATAACGGTCTGACGGGTATAACGAATGTGTTCGCACCTACCATTTATTTGTTTAGGTAAAATGCGTAAAACGAGCTGCGGGCATGAACAACTAAAATTGGTGGTCCCCTTCAATTCGTTGTTATCGTAGTTAACTCACTCACTCTGAAATTAAGAAACAGAACAGTGATCTCAATTCTACAACCACACTAGCGCTTTGACAACGGAGCTGTCCTGGAACGTCTAACTGTACATAGGTGAGCAGGGCAGTTATTATAGAGAAGCAGTAAGCGGTTATGAAAAACGTACAATATAGAACAATTGTTTATGGATAACAACTTCTTTATTTCGTGAGTGCGACGTTTCGATACAGATTCTTGTACCGTTGTCAAGCAAGAGTGAGACACACTCTTCTAAAATGCCAATCAAACAAGTATGACAAAGGTAAGCAATATCACTCAAGTTCAAGGTTAATTCCGCATTTTCTTGATAATTTCACATATATGGTTTGAAAATAGATGTTGATTTAAAAAATAGATTGATACAAACAAAAATTGGAAGAAATACATCACAAGAAGCAGTTTGCTGAATGTATCACAGCTAGGACTCAGTCAAGCTGTTTCTTGGATATCAACATTACCTCCTTTCATTGAGGTGGGGACACGTTCTGAAGATAGTGAACGCGTAACTTACCTGTCCAAAACCTCATGAAATCACATTGTTGTAGAGAAGAAGTTCATACATACATCCCGTCCTTATTCAGCACTACAACCTTTGCCAAGGAAGTAACAACATTAAAAATCATATTCTGTTTGTCATATACGTTTACTTTACAGCGATGGCTTTCCGCTCGTCCCAAGGTCTGGTGCAAAGCGTGGTCATCCCGGCATTGATTGCTGTTTGGTCCACCGACATCGTCTACGGAGATAATGGCGACACTGGGTTGCACAACTTCACACAGGTATACTGAACATGGCTAAACATTCCTTGTCTTCGTATAAAATGGCTATCATAGAATGTTTCAACATATCACAACATTAACCACACGTTACTGTATTCATCAGGCTGGATATAGACAGTGATGTACACACTAGTGACAACATTAACCACACGTTACTGTATTCATCAGGCTGGATATAGACAGTGATGTACACACTAGTGACAACATTAACCACACGTTACTGTATTCATTAGGCTGGATATAGACAGTGATGTACACACTAGTGACAACATTAACCACACGTTACTGTATTCATCAGGCTGGATATAGACAGTGATGTACACACTAGTGACAACATTATCCACACGTTACTGTATTCATTAGGCTGGATATAAACAGTGATGTACACACTAGTGACAACATTAACCACACGTTACTGTATTCATTAGGCTGGATATAGACAGTGATGTACACACTAGTGACAACATTATCCACACGTTACTGTATTCATTAGGCTGGATATAGACAGTGATGTACACACTAGTGACAACATTAACCACACGTTACTGTATTCATTAGGCTGGATATAGACAGTGATGTACACACTAGTGACAACATTATCCACACGTTACTGTATTCATTAGGCTGGATATAAACAGTGATGTACACACTAGTCCACAACATTATCCACACGTTATTAGGCTGATATAAACAGTGATCATTATGACAACATTACACACACGTAGGCTGGATATAAACAGTGATGTACACACTAGTGACAACATTACCCACACGTTACTGTATTCATTAGGCTGGATATAAACAGTGATGTACACACTAGTGACAACATTACCCACACGTTACTGTATTCATTAGGCTGGATATAAACAGTGATGTACACACTAGTGACAACATTACCCACACGTTACTGTATTCATTAGGCTGGATATAGACAGTGATGTACACACGTTAGTGACATCAGGCTGGATATCCACACGTTACTGTATTCGTTACTGTATTCATTAGGCTGGATATAAACAGTGATGTACACACTAGTGACAACATTATCCACACGTTACTGTATTCATTAGGCTGGATATAGACAGTGATGTACACACTAGTGACAACATTATCCACACGTTACTGTATTCATCAGGCTGGATATAGACAGTGATGTACACACTAGTGACAACATTATCCACACGTTACTGTATTCATCAGGCTGGATATAGACAGTGATGTACACACTAGTGACAACATTATCCACACGTTACTGTATTCATTAGGCTGGATATAGACAGTGATGTACACACTAGTGACAACATTATCCACACGTTACTGTATTCATCAGGCTGGATATAGACAGTGATGTACACACTAGTGACAACATTATCCACACGTTACTGTATTCATTAGGCTGGATATAAACAGTGATGTACACACTAGTGACAACATTATCCACACGTTACTGTATTCATTAGGCTGGATATAGACAGTGATGTACACACTAGTGACAACATTATCCACACGTTACTGTATTCATTAGGCTGGATATAAACAGTGATGTACACACTAGTGACAACATTATCCACACGTTACTGTATTCATCAGGCTGGATATAGACAGTGATGTACACACTAGTGACAACATTATCCACACGTTACCATTCACGATTACAGTGATGTACACACTAGTGACAACATTAACCACACATTAGGCTGGATATAAACAGTGATGTACACTAGTGACAACATTATCCACACGTTACTGTATTCAAGGCTGGATATAAACAGTGATGTACACACTAGTGACACACGTTACTGTATTCATTAGGCTGGATATAGACAGTGATGTACACACTAGTGACAACATTATCCACACGTTACTGTATTCATTAGGCTGGATATAAACAGTGATGTACACACTAGTGACAACATTATCCACACGTTACTGTATTCATCAGGCTGGATATAGACAGTGATGTACACACAGTGATGTTACTGTATTCATTAGGCTGATATACACAGTGACATTAGTGACAACATTATCCCACACGTTACTGTATTCATCAGGCTGGATATAAACAGTGATGTACACACTAGTGACAACATTATCCACACGTTACTGTATTCATTAGGCTGGATATAGAGCAGTGATGTACACACAAGTGACAACATTATCCACACGTTACTGTATTCATCAGGCTGGATATAAACAGTGATGTACACACTAGTGACAACATTAACCACACGTTACTGTATTCATCAGGCTGGATATAGACAGTGATGTACACACTAGTGACAACATTATCCACACGTTACTGTATTCATCAGGCTGGATGATGTACACAAGTGACAGTAACCATGTTACACACAGTGATGTACACACTAGTGACAACATTAACCACACGTTACTGTATTCATCAGGCTGGATATAGACAGTGATGTACACACTAGTGACAACATTATCCACACGTTACTGTATTCATCAGGCTGGATATAGACAGTGATGTACACACTAGTGACCATCACATGTCAAGGGTTATACACACCATATGGTACTTGCATGGCACAAATACGGAATATGATCATTATGATTAATACTGTAACTACATGAATGGCACCGCGTCAACAATGTGCATGTCCCCTTCACGCAAACATACAGACGGGGACATGACGTCAAGCAGAGTTTGTAAGACATCTAACGACGTCATCTGCAATTGCCCTCAATCATGTCAACTATTCTTTGGGGCAGCACGACGCAATTTCAAGTTCTGGTCTAGATGTTTCATGGTTGACATGTCTGGAGATTATCTTTGACGTTGTTCGTGAAAACGGTTTAACTACACATGCGGAATACGGTCTTCCATGGTTCTGGAAGAACGGTAACTTAGGGAACAGAACATGGCGGCCAGTGTAACTTTGGGTTAATAGTTTTCATCAATGACAAGCAGACACGTACTTTCTCGGCCCCATCCCAAATGAACACACTGCCACCGACAAACGGTGCAATCTCCTGACGGCAACAAGAGTCGGGTTTTACCCACAAGTCGGTGGATGAACTCCTGCCAGTAGGAACCTGCGTTAATAGGAATGCAACACAGTTGCGGTATACACTGGCAACGTTGAACGAAGGATCTTCCCCCTCCATGGCCTTCCTGTAAATCACGAAACATTGCCTCAGCTCAGTGATCGTCATTTGTGAAGAGTACGTGAATATTTCGACTTGTGTGTAGCTTGAACATAACTATATAGCGTACCAGTTGTTCTCCCCCTCTCCTTGATCTTGTCGTGCTTGTGTTGCGGGGGTTGTACTGTTGACTAATGATGTGTGTTCACAGTGCGATGCCACCGTGTATATTCCATTGTAAGGATAACCTGTTTCTCTTGCATGGCAAGTTTACTTCCAGACGCAGCAGCTAGCGATGTTTCAATCGATACCTTCTGATGAACAATATTGTCACCAATCTGACCTCCCATGTGGGTACACTAGTCACATTGAAAAAAATTGCATACTTTCGTAAGATCGTCAGTTGATATGAAAGAGAACCGTGTGGAGATTCCACAGCGAAGATTGCAACCGGTCCTCGATGTATCCGCTGCCAGAACAGGAAGTCATTTTACAACACTGTGTGTGATCAAGAAAAGCTTCCTTTGTCCACACATATAACCTCGAAGGGTGTTCTATAGAAACCACATACTGACTTAACCGAGATACGGTGGTCAGGCCCGGAGAATGACTTGTTATCGTGACCCTATATTTAGCATATGTGTTGATGAATCCATTCACCGTCATGCTGGTCCACATTGCATTATGTAGAGAACTGTAACATAATGGGTCATATTTCGTAATGTTATATTCATTGTTTTCCTCAGCGCGCGGATGCATCTGTGTTTACGGGGCCCTTTGAGTTCCTGCATATAGCCGACGCTGACAGCCCTGGTCGTAAGTAGCCTCCATAGCCACATCTGGCAGGAACCTTCTGATGTTGATGGTCTGTGGTGATGATGTGGTCGTTGTCGTGTTTCGAACTACCAATTGTGTGACGTGGGAAGATGAACAATATAGGAGTGGATCGACATATCACTCATCCTATCATGTACACATTGTTACAGAGGTATATTTTACAAACTAATGCAAAAAAATGTTTTGGAATGCCTATTGCTGCGGGTTGGGGTAAGGTGCATGTGTCCTCCTTCACATGAAAATTCATCATTTATTTCCAAAACAGAACCATGTCAGTAATTACGACAAACATTAATAATTCCTTTTAGTCTTTGAATATCATATATAATTGATATACGTAAGGCAGCGAATCCGTGAAAGGCCAACTCCCTTTGTAATGAGGAACACAACAGGGTAATTGCTTATTCCTTGCAATGATGTCCAATATCCTTGTTTCTGTTTGTAGACGCGTTGCTGACGGGCCTTGCACTGACGTGTGCCATGTTGCTGGGCATGGCCCTGATGGTGGTGCTGTTCTTTGTGGTGCTGCCCCGCTGTAGCAGGGGGAATGGAGGCAGCCAGTACGGTCTTCTGTATAATGACAACATAACCTCATCCGTGAACTCCATCAGTGTGAAGACAGTTTGACGAGCACCTGACAAACATTGCGCCATTAACTATGCAGGATATGCACGCTCTCTCCTGCAGACACTTGAAATATTCCAACTGTTAATATGTTTATCGTTCAACATTCAATCATAGTCCTGAGCCACTCCGTTAAGAGGCGGGATGCACGGATCACACCTGACAGTATTTTGATATCAAATCTATGCTGAAAGCACTTTCGAACTTATAATGAGTGTGTATAATTTTTTCTTATTACAAGACACAAGGGTGATATGTTGTTTAACCATCGACAATCATTTAACCATATTATTTCAGTCAGTGAACAATAACAACCAGTAACCTCAGAGTGTAAAAGCACAATCAAAGCTTAAGAGAGACCAGTGATAACATTTGATTGTGATGTCATTGACACGATGACCTGCATTGCATTTCAAACCGAAACGATATCTACTGTAGAATCAAGTTTGGAATGACAAGGACCAGTCTTTATATCCTATGACTATTGTAGGCATTGATAAGGTACCTTGAGACTTCAAGATGATATGTACACTTACATTTTTTAATAGTAATTGTATTAATGCATGTAGTATATTTATGCTATAACTAGTTTCATGTGACACGTATCTGATAAATCTGTGGTTGATAGATTACATGTATCTTGGAATGTTCTGGAGTGCCAAGGTGCTCTTAACCCCATACCCGTTGGTACCCTTGCACCGTGTACGACAGCTTTCTACTCATGGGCGCCAGTCCCTGTCGTTCATACGCGGTATAAACTGTTTAAGCCTTATTTTGTCCTGCCATTCTCAGGTATTACCTGTTCTATTCTCATACATTTCCTTGGCAATATACTCAGCGCCAACACATGTAGTCCGTGCCCGTTTCTGTTTCTGTTAAGAAAGGTTGTGTGTCACCATTCCGTCTTGTGTTCCTGGTTCAGACAGTGATGACTCAATACGCCGCATGGTATTTGAGAGATCGAGAGCAGTACAGAATAATGTAATGAACGCCTGGCACGTTCGCCTATCACGTGACAGCACGGTTGTATGTTTGACAGCTACTCGTAAATATTATTTTCAATATGTTGTAAGCATGGCGAAAATGTTTTCATTATACGGTTTATGTTATACTTACACGAAATAAACACTTATTGCAATTGTATCATCATGTAATAATGGTTTGTTTTATACTCATGTAAAGATGTGTCTTGTACACACAGTGACCATGCAGGCATGGGTTCTAACTTCCCGTTATGTTGAGTACAATTCCAGCCTTCGATGTCTAAAATTTACATTTTCTTAGGTACAGTTGAGCATACTCATTAAACGAAAATTTCAAAGAGCGTCATTCGACTCTTGCTCAATTTGTTTGATTTCTGAACCAGATCCATGGTCTCAAAAAAACAAGTTCAACTCGTATTATGGGAATCATGTGGAAGACAAGTCCAGTTGTGGGCAGGAAACGACCTTTGCTAGTTCCTGGTGTCTTCACCATTTGATAGTGACCTATATAAACACACACTCGAAATCGACTGTTCTTTTAGAATCGGTTTCTAGTTAGTATTGAAATGATTTTGTGGAAGAATAACACAGTTTAGTGCTGTTAACCGTAATACAAGTTTAAAATAGCTGTACTTATGCATATTGTGCTATTGGTCTATTAAATATAATGATTGAGCTGAGGTTATCGAACGGTAATAGTAATTGTGCTGACTCATATACCATTGGGGCAAATCTGATATTCGAACATGTGACGCAGAGCCTGTGACCGCACCTCATTTATACTCGGTGAATTATCCTGCTGTACTCATGTTAAAAATAAGAGAAATGCAAGCTATTGAGAAAAGATACAGATATGTTTCGTCATCATTATTTTACAGATATTTAGGTCTGTGTAAACCCGTTAAAGCCACGGAAACATGGGGACATACACAGCCGGACACATGTGTACATTGGACTGGACCAAACCATCACAGACGTTAGCAACGCGTTACTTCGCTGCAGACAGTCGTCATAACACTGTAAACTTGAGGACCAAAACACAACAAAGATATCACTATCAATTACCCACGTGTACCGTCGACTCGCATATTTTGGCTGTTTTTCCGGCTTCAGAAGAACAATGACACTTACATGACCCTACATACCAACCTGGTTTCGGATTATTGTTAATGGGCAAGGAGACAGAGGAACGTATACGGGCCGTGCACTAGCAGCATGGGGAGTTTCAGATTGACAGTCGCAAAACACTTATTCTTGTTATTTTCTTATATTTCGCAAAAATAATGTTTAGCTGTTAAAATTCTATCCAATGGTTTGTAATGAAAGTTTGCTTCTTGTTTGGTTTACCCACGTCGGATTTATGAATGATATCAACTGAATCTGACAGTAAATCTTCAAGTGATGTTTGTTAGCTTCGACCACGTTGCACGACTCATGCTTGTTTCATTTACCCACCATCAAACATAGGTGTGGTAAATGTGTTGTCCTGCAGTATGTATCAGACAAAACCATCCTACGCATGTCTGTAGTGTTACATTACATGCAGTGTTAGGAATGTCTGTCCCTTTGTTCAACAATCGTCTCATGTCCAATAGAACATGTCTGCGTCATACAACTGAGTGAGTGAGTGAGTTTGGTTTTACGCCGCTTTTAGCAATATTCCAGCAATATCACGGCGGGGACACCAGAAATGGGCTTCACACATTGTACCCATGTGGGGAATCGAACCCGGGTCTTCGGCGTGACGAGCGAACGCTTTAACCATCAGGCTACCCCACCGCCCCCACACAACTGAACACACACTTCATGGTTCGGAATTATGAGAAACAGTATTGGATCTTGGACTTCTGCAGTATTACATAAGACCAAGGACAACTTGCTGTGAGCGTCAATAACTTAGGTACTACAATGACTATGTCTCACAGTTCACTAAATAATTATTCATACCTGATTTTCTGTGCATGTTTTGAAAATATCAAACATTTTTTCCTTTTCACGGAGAACCCAGTTACACAGATATCCCTATAGTGATCACAGACTAATCCTGCAAACAATTTTGAATATTGTTTTGAATATGTACGCAAATTGTATCTCTGCGAGTATGAGTAAATTAGAAATATATACTTATGACTTGGTAATTTCCTCTGAACAGGTTACACTTGACGTCGTGAAAGTCACGCATACTTCCAGCGCATTCCTGCCGCTTTCTTGTCTTAACTCTCCCACAAGCTTCACTTGTCCTATCTTATTGACACATTGCGTCATCAACGTAGCCCGGCATGGAGAAGGTTAAAAGGGCGGGTACAGTGACGTCACAATAAAAACACTAATCAATGATGGCAACTACTTTCGTTTTAGCATTCTGTTTTCAAAGGGCATAGCCGTAGTTGGTGCGATTCTTGCGAAACATGGCTGGTACTTACACAGTTTGCTGTTTCGAAAGCTAGATGAAGAAAATCCCACGTCGCAAAAGAATTATCTGCTCATGGAAAATGTAAGTTTTGACATTTTATTGGAAACAATCCAAGTCGAGATTCACTGCAATATACTGTTCCCTCCAGAGTGAAACAGGCCCTCGTCTTAGGGTATAGCGCAAGGAGTAAGGTAAGTGTCATGGTGAACACGCCACGGGAGGTACTGCGAGAAATTGCAGCTGGTAATATTTTCAGTTCTTTCTCTGGTGACGTTTCTCCAGTCACCGATGTCAGGCAATCATACCTAGGTCACTCTGGGATCTACACGGATGTCAACACAAGCGATCTTAGGTCACTCTGGGATCGAAACGGATGTCAACACAAGCAATCATAGGTCACTCTGAGATCGACACGGATGTCAACACAAGCAATCATAGGTCACTCTGAGATCGACACTGATGTCAACACAAGCAATCATAGGTCACTCTGGGATCGACACTGATGTCAACACAAGCAATCATAGGTCACTCTGGGATCGACACAGATGTCAACACAAGCAATCATAGGTCACTCTGAAATCGACACGGATGTCAACACAAGCAATCATAGGTCACCCTGGGATCGACACTGATGTCAACACAAGCAATCATAGGTCACTCTGAGATCGACACTGATGTCAACACAAGCAATCATAGGTCACCCTGAGATCGACACTGATGTCAACACAAGCAATCATAGGTCACTCTGAGATGGATACGGATGTCAACACTAGCAATCATAGGTCACTCTGAGATGGATACAGATGTCAACACAAGCAATCATAGGTCTCTCTGAGATCGACACTGATGTCAACACAAGCAATCATAGCTAGGTTACTCTGGGATCCATACGGATGTCAGCACAAGCAATCATAGGTCACTCTGGGATCGATACGGATGTCAACACAAGCAATCATAGGTCACTCTGTGATCGATACGGATGTGAACACAAGCAGCCATAGGTCACTCTGAGATCGATACGGATGTCAACACAAGCAATCATAGGTCACTCTGAGATGGATACAGATGTCAACACAAGCAATCATAGGTCACCCTGAGGTCGACACGGGTGTCAACACAAGCAATCATAGGTCACTCTGAGATGGATACGGATGTCAACACAAGCAATCATAGGTCACTCTGAGATGGATAGGGATGTCAACACAAGCAATCATAGGTCACTCTGAGATGGATACGGATGTCAACACAAGCAATCATAGGTCACTCTGAGATGGATACGGATGTCAACACAAGCAATCATAGGTCACTCTGGGATCGACACGGATGTCAACACAAGCAATCATAGGTCAATCTGGGATCGACACAGATGTCAACACTAGCAATCATAGGTCACTCTGAGATCGACACGGATGTCAACACAAGCAATCATAGGTCACCCTGGGATCGACACTGATGTCAACACAAGGAATCATAGGTCACTCTGAGATGGATACGGATGTCAACACAAGCAATCATAGGTCACTCTGAGATGGATAGGGATGTCAACACAAGCAATCATAGGTCACTCTGAGATGGATACGGATGTCAGCACAAGCAATCATAGGTCACTCTGAGATGGATACGGATGTCAGCACAAGCAATCATAGGTCACTCTGAGATGGATACGGATGTCAACACTAGCAATCATAGGTCACTCTGAGATGGATACGGATGTCAACACTAGCAATCATAGGTCACTCTGGCATCGACACTGATGTCAACACTAGCAATCATAGGTCACTCTGAGATGGATACAGATGTCAACACAAGCAATCATAGGTCACCCTGAGGTCGACACGGGTGTCAACACAAGCAATCATAGGTCACTCTGAGATGGATACGGATGTCAACACAAGCAATCATAGGTCACTCTGAGATGGATACGGATGTCAACACAAGCAATCATAGGTCACTCTGAGATGGATACGGATGTCAACACAAGCAATCATAGGTCACTCTGAGATGGATAGGGATGTCAACACAAGCAATCATAGGTCACTCTGAGATGGATACGGATGTCAACACTAGCAATCATAGGTCACAGATGTCAACACAAGAGATGGATACAGATGTCAACACAAGCAATCATAGGTCTGGGATCCATCTGAGATCGACTGGGATCGATGATGTCAACAGCAATCATAGCAATCATAACATAGGTCACTCTGAGATGATACGGATCCATACTGGATGTCAACACAAGCAATCATAGGTCACTCTGGGATCGATCACGGATGTCAGCACAAGCAATCATAGGTCACTCTGAGACGATACGGATGTCAACACAAGAGCGGATGTCAACACAAGCAATCATCAGGTCAATCTGGGATCGACACGGATGTCAACACGCTAGCAATCGGTCACTCTGGATGGATACGGATGTCAACACAAGCAATCATAGGTCTGGGATCGACACTGATGTCACTCTGAGATGGATACAGATGTCAACACAATGTCAACACAAGCAATCATAGGTCACTCTGAGATGGAGGATGTCAACACAAGCAATCATAGGTCACTCTGAGATGGATACGGATGTCAACACAAGCAATACAAGCAATCATAGGTCACTCTGAGATGGATACGGATGTCAACACAAGCAATCATAGGTCACTCTGAGATGGATACGGATGTCAACACAAGCAATCATAGGTCACTCTGAGATGGATACGGATGTCAACACAAGCAATCATAGGTCACCCTGATGTCAACAC